ATGTGTTTGTTGGAATCAAAGAAGAAAAAATATTGGATGCTAGACTAACAAAAATGAAAATAGCTAGAAACGCCAAAGCAAACAAACCTTGGGGCTCTGAAGCCATGCAAGAGGAGACCAAGATTTAATTATCTCGCATTAATTTAAGGAAATTAATACATAATAATGTTTAAACTATTCTTAAAAAAAAAAGGAAACTAGTCAACACCAAAAAAGGAAAAATACCTACAATAAAACTAAACGTGATTGAACATAAACAATCAAATTTGAATCAAGAGCTTTCTCTCTTAGCATTCACATGCGGGCCAAGTTGTCATGGACTTCAATTTATAGCACACGGGACTTCCAATTTATGATTATTTATATCAACTTTAATATATTTTTTAAAACAAATTATACATCAGTAACAATGAAATTATCGGGTTCCCAGGCCCCAAATACAAAAAAAAGAGGGACAGTCAGCATAAAATTTTTGTAAAAAAAATCATGCATGAATCATTTAAATCATTGTGTAAACGTCAGGGCATCCTCTGGAAGCGATGCACCGTATGGCCTGAATGCAGTGAAAGCGTGCAAAGGCCGCAGCACCGGTGCCCGGGTGCAGTGTTAAATAAGCAAGGGTTCCTACATTATGGATGGATGAAGTTAAAAACATTAGTCCATAAAGCAAATATTAGAATAAAAACTTGAAATATAGGTACTCTCACAAGTAAATTAATGAAATTAGTATATATTATGATTTATAAGAAAATGAATATTTTGAGAGAAACTAACTGGGTTGAAAACAAAAAGATAAAGTGATTGATAGCTTAGATTTTAACTTTGGTATTCAAATAAGAGTCTAGAAATGTAAATATAATTATAAATAAGAGATGAAAAATAATAATGAAAAAAATTTTATACTTTGAGATAAAATTATAGCCCTAGAGATTGTTATAGATACTTAAATTTTTAATATTATAATAATTATGTTACTCAACTAGGATTAAATATATGTTCAAAAAAAAATTTTAAAATGATCTAGACAAATTAATACGAAGGATGCTACTTGAAGAAAAAAAAAATTTACGGAGCTTTAAATAAACATATTGGTCTATGATTTTTTTTTATTTACTAATGAAGAGGGTAAAGTCATCTTGATTTATATTTTAGCTTAAAATTTTGTTATTGCTAATACTTTATTTTAAAATAAAACGAGTATATTATCGCTTACAAGAATTGAAAGGTTATTACAAGTGATAATTTCTTTATGAGAAAAATAGATAGTTGAGATTGTAAAGATTGAAAGGTTATTCCAAGTGAAAATTTAAGTACTCAATATTGATTATTGGCTTTGAATTTTAAAATGAAGAAGTAAAAGATGAAACATACAACATATTATGATAAAATTAGATTGAGGCACTTAAAAGACAAACAAAATTATTTTTATGAGTAAACTATAAAATCTTAAGATTTCAGATGCTCATGAAGAGGCTAATGTTATGTGAGATAAAATAACAAACATTATTAAGCAAGTTGCAAAAAATATAATCGGTGAATTAAAAGGAAAAACTCATATAAATAAAAATAGTTTGTTGTGGATTAATAAAATGCAATAAAGATAAAACATAAGAAATTTTATAATATAAATTAATTTAAATGTAAAAAATTTAGAGAATTTAGAAAAATATAAGGTGACCCATAGGAAATCTAAGAGAAAATTTGTGATGCTAAGAATTTTTTTTAGTGATCATTATAATATATTATATTTTAAAGAGGTTGAAAGATATATGTATAATCAAGCCAAACAAAGAAAAAAAGTCAATATTTAGTCCAAGTAAATTATATTAAGGAGAAAAATGAAGATGAACTTTTCTTAGATGGGGATATTTAGCATTAGTGGATGAGATTTTAATAAATTTTTCAATCTAAATTTTGAAAATACAATTTGCTTAGGAATTTTAATATCGTTAATAATAATAAAAAATTTTATCTTTACAGTCGCATTAGTAAAATGAAAGTTGAGGAGGCCTTAATGAAAATGAAGGGTGAAAAATCAATAGGACCTGATGGTATTCCAATAGAAGTGTAAAAATATTTAAAAGATTTGAAAATTTATTGGTGAAGTTGGATGGTTGAAATGAAGGAAAGTGTCGGGCCTATCTGTGATAGAAAAGTACTGCTTAGACTTAAGGATAAATTTATAAGATGTTGGTCAGACATGCAATGCATTATGGTGCATAATTTTGGCCTATAAAAAGAAGCATAAAACTAAACTAAGTGTGTTGAGATGAGAATGCGGTACATAAGCGGCTTTATACTTAGAGACAAAATGTGAAATGACTATATTCATGAACGAGTTGGTGTAACTCAAGCGACAAACAAGATTAGAGAGAGCCATCTTAAATGGTTTGGTCACATTAATCTAATCCGGTTAAGAGAGTAGATTTAGATTTTTGACATATGTTAAGAATGGTAGAGGTAGACCTAAAAAGACTTGGACATGTATAAAAAAAATGATTTTAATTTATTATGACTAAATGAAAATATGATACGCAATAGGACACAATGGCCCACTTAGTGGGATAAAGGCTTGTTGTTGCTGTAAGAAAATTATATATAATGTCATCAATACGATTTCCCCCAAATTAATCAAATAATGACTCAAAATTTGCTAAAATATGACACTCAATAGGACACAATGGCCCACTTAGTGGGATAGAGGCTTGCTGTTGCTCTAAGAAAATTATACATTAGTATATAATGTCATCAATATGACTTCCCCAAATTAATCAAATAATGACACAAATTGCTAAAATGATTTGATCGTAACTTCAATTGTCGTCGCATTGCAAAACTCAAAATTTATGTTTGCATTGCATCAAACAAGCAATTACTCGAGTTGGGAAGCATACCCAGCTTCACCATTTTGAAAGCTAGGACAAAAACTTCCATATGAGAAGATACACTGAGATGGCTTTCTAAAATTTGGGCTAGTTTAAAACCCCAAGACAATAAGATTAACAAAGGTTCAAAGTCCTCCAATTTAATTGGTTAGACATCAACTAGCATAATATGTACCTCCAGTCATTCACCCTAAAATTTTGCACTTTAAAACATTTTAAAAGTAAGAAAGAGGTCTAATATTGCTTTTTAAACTACATCTTTTTCCTATTGTAAAGGAAACAAAACAAAAGAATAACACGTCAAGTCCAATTAAAAAATAATATATGAAAGTAGTTTAGCATTGAAGCACCAAAAACTAAATCAAAACAAAAAAAAATCAAGTTTCAATAGTAATAATGCCATATGGTCCAACTTATTTAAGAACAAAAAAAGAATTGAATAGAAATGGGCAAGTTCCAAGGAAACAATATAGCATTCTATTGTCGGTAAATTATAGATATGAGAACACAAATATGCAAAGTAAAACTCTTGCACACAAAATATGACAAAAGCAATAAACGGAACTAACAAGGAAACAAACAAAATAAAGTTCAAGCTTTGTAACTTGTATATTTCATGAAGGCTCGTGCTTAATAACTACAAGCAGGAACTCAACATCTAAACCGCAACACTTCTATACATAGGCCGCTAATTTTTGTCTTATGATAGCAATATAAAGCATGCAAACCAAAAATTATAATAATATCAAGAAAAATTAGTTTTTAAGTTTTGGACTTCACCAATACCATTTAAAAATTGAACATTGATGACAAAATTGCCATTGATTGTGGGTTGCTTCAAAATAAGGGAATCTTATTGTATAATCTCATAATCAACATAAGACCAGCAATTACAAGAGCCAAGCTTAATCAAAGCAATGAACAAGGTCCTCCAAATGAAATGAAAATGAGTAAAAAACATTAAGATCCACCTAATATCAAACAAGAAGTCTAAAAATTATATAGACAGATTCCAGAAGAAAATATCCAGTAGCTTGGAACTCCAATCTTCATTTTCAAAAAACAATTCCCAAAAACTAATTTTAGGATCTGAGCACCACAAAATAAATAAGATTCAATCAGTTTATAAGCTAAGAAAATGGCAGACCCAAGATAGATTTGTGCTTATACAAGAAAATAAAAATTTTGTAACTTAGCATTTAGTGAGAATGAAGTAACAAAAATTGGATTAAGATAAAAGAGAATTACTAGAAAGGCATGTAAGACCGCTAAACAGAATATGTTTTAGAAGAAGGAAGGTTAAGCTAATGATGTACAGAATTTTCTAAAAATGGATTTTGATGAACCAAAACTCTACTTCTAGAAGCTTCTATTGCAGCTGAAGATTACTTCAGATATGCTTACTCAAACCATTGATCATTTAATCACCTCAGAGTCAACAACAATTTCAGCCTAGCATTAAATAGGAAAGGCCTCAAAATACAAGATTGGATGACACAAAGTATCCAATTAGAAAATATTTTTTTAATAGTTCGTTCTAGACCAGAAATAAATAGTTCACCAAGAGAGCAATATGGCTTCAAATAGAGGTGCAATTTTGTGTATAATTTATATGCCTTTCAAAAACTTTTCAGGCTGCAGTTTCCAACAATAATGGTACTGTTATATTTTGACCAGAGATAAATAGTCCACCAAGAATGTAATATAGCTTCCACTACAGGTCAAATTTTGAGTAACTTTTGTTACTTTTGAAAAAAAAAAAAAAAAAATTGTTTTTCTAGAAATCCAGGAGACAATAGCTGCACTACAAAAGAAGAAGAATGCACTTCAAACATTAAAAATGAAAAACAATTTTAAACTTCTACGAAACTCAGCAATCATGAATCAACAACAAACATTGCAGCAAGGCTTAGATTGTCGAAGGAGAAAAAATTGCTAAATTGGTCGGTAAGAAATGCTATGAACCTACATTCCATCCAAAAATAATAAAGCTAACCATGTTAAAATTACAAATAATAATAATAAAAATATGTATCATATAAAATGCTCTAAATCAGAACATCAATATCTAAGCATCTATTTTCAGGGTGTGCAAAAAAAAAAAAAACTACTCACCTGCATTCTAGGTATTCCTGAAGACCACCTTTGCGCTTAATAACATCTTTAAATTTGATTTTCTCAATTGGGCTAAGGGTATTAGCTTTCAAACCAGCAGCAACAGCTGATGCACCTCCATCACTTACATCACATAAGATTTCAGAAGAACTAGGTTTCTCTAAATTGGTGGTAGAATGATAATCATCAATAGAAATATTTGTAAAAAGTCCTTGCTCATGCATAAGAACTTCCCAACCATCATCCCCTTCATAAGCCATGTCACCATGCTTACGTTTTTTCACATTCCGTAATGCCCGCGGAACTGTAGGTTCATGTTCCAAATGACCAGAATCAGGTTGTTTAGATTCTTCAAGATGTTGAATTCCATTAGTTAAAACAGCATTCTGCAATGATGCATCAACAACATTAGCAATAGAAAGAACTTCAGATGTAACCAAAAATTGTTCTTTGGGTGCAACAACAATAGGTTGATTTGTAAATCCTTCATCAACAGACTCAATCAAAGTTTTTTGGATAATAGGTGCCACAATGGTCTCTCCAGACAGTTCTAATAGCTTCTCAGAATAAGCACTTGGCTTGCCAGTTGTTTCGTCAAATGGCACACTAGTACATTGAAGCATGGTACCGGCCTTCAGACTCGGAGCTTCTATACATGTGTCATTTAACATACAGTCTCCAAAAGAGGTGGCATCATTCTCCTGCAAAATCGAGGGAGGAAGTGCTTGAGATTTACAATCAGTAGACCCAGAAAAATCTTCCGGAATGATTGTCAGCTGCAGAGAACATGAACCTTGAACAAAAGAAAGGCTGGTATCAGCAGCTTCCTTTTGGAAACCACTGGGTTCTGATGTCCACATCATCAAATTTTGATTAACTTCATCAACTGTATGAGAAGCTTGGTTGGATTCAGCAATCCTACAGGTTCTAGGTGGACATAAACCACTTGGATAAAGCTCAACAATTTCATTCTTGCGGCTCGTGCTACCATTAGAACAATGCTGCAAGCCATCATGCAAGGACTGCTGCTCCTCTTTCACCTGGCAACATCTCAGTTCATCTACAAATCCACTAGAATTAGGATGACATCCATTCTCATGGCCTGAAAGGTTGCTTACTCTACCTTCTTCACCTCCTGTGTTAAGTTTATTTATATCAAGGTCAAAACAAGCGACTGCTGAATTTTCCAAAATTTCTTGTGATACTTTATCAACACCACTTTTCTCAATCTTATCAAGGTCTACCTTAACTTCAACAGTAGAAATCAAAGGGGAAGTTATCATCCTTTCATAGGTTGAGTCCTTGAGTGCTCTATCAGATTTTCCAATCCTCGCTTTCCTCTTCAGTGCAAGTAAAGGGTTTGCTTCCCCAGCAAATCCTGTAATCATGTTTTCATCTCTGTTAATGAGATCTCCAGAGGCACAGTTTTTGGCAGCTCTGTCAGATTTTCGGCTTCTACCTCTCTTCCTCAGTTTCAGTAAAGGGTTTGTTTCCCTGTCAAATCCTGCCAATATACTTTCTTCTTTGGAAACCTGATCTGAAATCCCACCGAATCCAGCAACCACCGTCACCTCTGCAGGATTAGCAGCAGTACATTTTCTTCCCAACCTAGCTCCCCTCGGATGTTTCTTCTCCCCATCAGAGCTATCTTTTGACAGAACCACAGAACCCAAATTTCTTGCTATCTGCTTGCTCGGCGCTTTAGCAGACTTCACTCCACTACCAGCGCTAGATTGGGCCCTCTGAATGTATGCAGACAATGAATCTTCGAAACTTGAATCCGAAGAACCATCAGGGATCCCAAGAAGATCTAAATCCCCAACATAACCATCCCCCTTGGAAATAGCCCGCTTAGACCTCCAAGTTTGAGGTTTTCCAGTAAGAACCACCTTAGCAGGTGAAGCAATTCCCCCCATTAGCTCGGGAGGGGAACCTCTCACTACATCTCCACACAATTCCGCACCAGCCTCATCCTTAACTTTCTTCAATCCCCTTATATTCTTCCTAAAACTAGCCAATGTAGCATCCAATCCGCCTGAATCTAACATCTTAACGCTAGGGTTTTCAACCCTAGATTGTGCAAGCAGAGGCCTACCCTTCTTCACACCCCTCGACTTTCTCAAATTGAACAGAGAGCCAATCGGCCGTTCGTCCTCCTCATCCGGCACCGCAAGACTTTCCACCGCTGATAACGATTTCCTCTTACTTTCTCCCTCGACTTCATCTCCCATCTTAGAGCGCCTCGCCCTAGGTATTCTCGCGTCCGAAGCTTGATAACCTAACCCTATCTCGCCAATCCCCTCGGACGACGGGCGCAAACATTCATGCGGCTAGAAGGCTCCATCCTCAAAATCAGACCATTCATCGTTCATATATCTACTATCTAGATTAATTGGGAACCCAGAAAGCTAAAACACTGAGAACTCCAAGATTAAGAAAGGGAGAGCGCGCTGTTCTGGCTATGATTCGAAACAAAAGGCGGAGGCGACGGTGGCCAGATGCTTACCTGAGCGTTATAAACGCTGGCAGATGACAGAAAATCGAAACCAAAGGGATGACGGCAGCAAAGGGTTCCGGCGATCTAGTCGCTCGAGGAGGCGGTAAAGCACTCCTGCTACTGCGTGACGACGAAATTGATAGGGAGCTGAGTTTCTCCAAACTTTTTGCCCTTTCGCTTCTCCGTTGTTTTTTCTTTAATGCAATTTTTCTTTCTCAAATAGATGGAACTTATTTAATTAAAGTTTGGAATCAATATATTTCAGGAAATTTACTTGTATTATTTTATTTAAAATATATTTAATAGAAGGCTTTATTTTTGTTTGTATATCTGCCTCACAATGCAAGTTATTGATAACTGTTTCTATTTTAAGTTTATATATATATATTAATATACATAGATGATTGATACTTTATTTTAGACAAAACTAGAGGATTATTTTATAATTTCTACTTGTATTTTTCCCTAGAGCCCAAACATCACAACCCAATCTCTTAAAAGTCTATTTTTAGTCATGATTTGAATATGTTATAGTCGCAGACCGTGGAAGGACACGTCTAAATCTATGATAGAGGGCTTGCATAAGTAGGCGATAAAAAGGCTCGAACCCGAACCAAAGTTCAAATCAATTTAACCTGTTGATGCCTCAAAAAATAATTCTATAGATACAAAAGATTATCCTTCATTGAGGATAATTTTATCTAAAACAAGATAGAGTCAAATATCTCTTTACATTTTTATGTATGTTCATATAATATTTTAGTATATGTTAACATTATATTCATTAATTAAGAAAAAAAATAATATTTTATATTCTTATAGGCAATCATCTACAGAATTATCAAATTATATTTTCTTATTTACAAACACATACCATAATTCTTGTAATTATAACATTTTGGTGTGATGAATTCATGCATGCAAACACTTATCTAACTAATCAAAAGTAAGCAATAAAGATATTTCTCATGAGAAAATAAAATATTGAGTGTTATACATATAAATATTAAAGTTCGTGTCTTCGATATACAAACACATAAGAACTATGTTGTATTTAGAAAAATAAAACCAGCAAGTTAATTATAATATTAAGGAAGATTAACATACAGATCAGTCAATTCTTAGTAATTACATATCTCACACCCAAAATTTCGTATTTACACATAGCAATCAGATCTCTAATAACACATTAAAAAAAAAACACTATTAAAACAGTGAAACACACATTTTCATGTATAGATTTAGATCAGCAAAATGCTATATATATATATATATAAATAAATTTGGGTGTGATATATGTAAACACGAGAATTGTGTGCTGTATATTTAAATTTTTTCATTTTTATTTTCTTCACAACATACGCCAAAAATCCACACATTAGCAGAACAAACCACACTAAATAAAATAAAATAAAATAAAATAAAAAAGATTATCCATGTAAACATGATACCAAAAGAAAAAAGAAAGGAAGATTTGCATGCATACTACTAAATTTTTATGTATTTGCATATCTTAACACCTAAAGTTCAATTTTTACATGTATGTCATCTTATTCAATTTTTAAAGGCGGGCGAGGTTGTCATACAAAAGAGTTGGGTGGTAATTGGCATAAATGTAACAAAGTAAAATTTAGTTAGATATGTAAATACATAGGAATTGTGTAAAAGATCAAATAGAAAACTTTAGATTGAAAGATTTCTGTATCAAATTTCAGGAGGCCAAATGCAAGCAAGACTTCAAGCAGAACACAAGTTTTCTGGTGCTGAAAATACTGAACAAGGCTTGATTAGTTACAGTTTTCTGAGTGCTGAAAATATATAAGAAAATCAAAGCATAAAATAATTCAAATTAAATTCTTACTTGAAAACAGTAAAGATAAATTTAGAAAAACTTCACTTCATTGCTCTGCATATTTGCAGCATTCATAAATCTGAATTATCTGAAATTGTCATAATGAAAGTTATTGTTTCAAGTAAATTCAACTCAAGGGGTTATTATAAAGAGATTAAAGGGAGTATTTATTCTTTAATTGGAAAACAGACCTCTATATTTTATAAATAAAAAACTTGTATGTTTAATAAATCCATGGTAATATAGCTCGCCGCGAAGGAGGATAACTCTCAAACTTCTGATGGTACCACCTATGTGTTTCAGTTGCTGCAAAAACGAGATTTGATACCTGGGCCATAAATAATGCAATAAAGTCATCATCAAATATCATATAAAACTGAAGGGAAATTTACATCTATGTGTTTCAGTTGCTGCAAAAACGAGATTTAATACCTGGGCCATAAATAATGCAATAAAGTCATTATCAAATATCATATAAAACTGAAGGGAAATTTACATACGTAGCGCCAATTCTTATCTATTTACATATCTCACACCTAAACTTTCATATTTACATACACACCTCTTTTGTGCTTTAAACCTATGCATGAAAAGATGTATTTCACTTTTAAAGAGTGGTGATAATGCTATTTTTGATGTGGTATTAAAGATTTGAGTGTTGTGTGTGTAAATATGAAAGTTTAGGTTGAGATATGTAAATACATAAGAATTGTGTTTTATGTATGTAAATGCCCCTAAAAAGAATCCAATAAGTTTTAATAAATGATAATCTTCCATTTAAATAAGAAAAATAAATAAAATCAAATCAAATAATTAAAAAAAAATTAAAAAAAAAAGATAATCAGCAACTAGTGCAAAAAGCAGAACGGCAAACTCCAGGAGAATGAGAATAAATCTCACCACAAAGAGGAAAAGGAGCCAAATTGTTGGGTCTACACCTCCACTAGCAAGTAAGAAACCTGCATAAATGACCTGAATGGAGACTGATGATCAATATGACATAATCTGATTTGGGTGCAAATTGTCAATAAACAATCATAAATTCCTCAGCAAAAAAGTCAACGGATAGCTTGACTTTTACAAGATACCATTTTCAGGTTATCCACTGATATATTTTTGAAAAAAATGGGTTGATAATCAGAAGCAAAGATTTAACTAAGAATATCTCATGATTTGCAATGGCTTTTTATTTTGTTGCTCTCTTGCTTTCTTCATTTATTTTATTTTGAGGGTGTTGACATTGCATCCATCATCATCTAGATGTCTCATTTAATTTGATTAGTTTTATGATTTTAAATTGACTATACTTACTTTCTCTATTCAATATGTTACCAAAATGTGTTATGTTTGATTACAAAAATTATATTAACATGTATATTCAATGGCAGGTTTAATTATAATCTAGGGGCCATATATAAAATCATTTTAATATTATCATTTCATAGCTATATTAAAAAATAAATACTTAAAGAGTGAAAAATTATTCTGCGCCTCTATGCTTACTTATAATTAACCTAAGTTTGTCTTCATCAAAAAAGAAGAGATTATTAACCCCATGAGCCATGGTGTATGTGAGCATGTCTGGATGATAAGAATTAATTGATTGCAGATAATAATGTTCACAGTAAGTAGTCTTAAGGATTCAAAGATTGCAAGGACTTTCGTTAAAGAATTAAGATGAAAGATGAATAATCCAATCACCAAAGAAACTGGAAAGAAGCTAAATCAAAAGTAATAAGAGCTGTGAGAGTATTTGTAAATCTAAGCATGTAATTGCTACATGAGTAGCTCAATTCACTCTTGATTTAACCTAAAAATCTATATTAAATTCATTAAACTCTTCAAGAATTACTTCAAGTATTCAAGAAAAGCTAATTTAAAATTTTATATATTATATAAATTAGTTAACTAAGTTTTAGTTAATTTTGCAACTAAATTTGATCATTAATTTTTTTCCTAGTCAGAGGCTAGTTAAGATTAAAATGAATAAAATACATAATCATTTTGAAATTGCAAAGCTAAGGTATAATTTATTTCCATTAGACCGATTACGGGTTTTTACATACAAGATCATATATAAAAATCATATTAATTTTTATTAAGTTATGAATAAAATTAAAAAGTTCAAAACAATTAAAAAAATACTATCAAGAAACTATTCTAATGCATATGAGATAGCGGGCATTGGAGCCGCTTAGATTTGCATGTGTCGAGATCCTAACACAACTTAAATAGCCAATTAACCAATAAAACATGTGCAAATGCTAGTTGATTAAACCATTTCAGAAACCTAATAACTGTTCCATTTATTAGGATATTTTTCTAACCACTTTACAAATGTTTTGAGTTTATACATGGATCAAAATTTTAAAACATCTCATTTAAAATTCTAGAAAATCAAAAACCTTCCTGCAAAACTCCTCTGTTGAGAAACCTAGCTCTTCTCTTCAAAGGTTATTTTCTAATTTTCAAAAACTAGAGGGGCAACAAGTCTAAGTGCCCGTTTGGGGGCGCTTATTTGGTGCGTTGGCGTTAGGAAAACTATTCAATTGCAGTGTATGCAAAGCTTGTGCATACTATTGCAGGCAGCTTTTTATGTGTAATTGCAAAAGAATAGGTTGGTATGCATGCATATTATTTTAGGTGGTCGTGTGTAAATGCATAAGAATTGGTTTGTATGTATGCATTTCACTGGTAGCAATTGTAGTCCTGTAGGGTTTTTTGGAAGCTTACATATAAATGTCTATCATAGGTAGCTCCATAGTTGTTTATTATGAGTTTTTTCATGTGTATATGAATATGAATTGGTTGGTATGTTTTCAAAATCTGTGCATACTATTGCAGGTGGCCTTTTATGTGTAAATGCATATGAATTGGTTGGTATGTATGCATACCATTTTAGGTGTTTCAAGTGTAAATGCATAAGAATTGATTGGTATGTATGTATGTCACTTCTTACCTATTGTAGTGTTGTAGGTATTTATGGAAGCTTACATATAAATCCCTATCACTGCTAGCTCCATAATTGTTTATTATGATTTGTTTCATGTGTAAATGCATACAAATTGGTTGTTATGTATGCAAAGCTTGTGCATACTATTGCAGGGGCATTTCATGTGTAAATGCAAAAGCATAGGCTGGTATGCATGCATACTACTTTAGGTGTTTCATGTGTAAATGCATAAGAATTGGTTTGTATGTATGCATATCACTAGTAGCAATAGTAGTGTTGTAGGTTTTTTTGAAAGCTTACATATAAATGTTTATCATAGGTAGTTCCATAGTTGTTTATTATGAGTTGTTTCATGTGTATATGAATACGAATTGGTTTGTATGTATTCAAAATTTGTGCATACTATTTCAGGTGGCCTTTTATGTGTAAATGCATATGAATTGGTTGGTATGTATGCATACCATTTTAGGTGTTTCATGCGTAAATGCATAAGAACTGATTGGTATGTATACATATCGCTTCTTACCTAATATAGTATTGTAGGTATTTATTGAGCTTACATATAAATCCCTTTCATTATGAGTTGTTTCAAGTGCAAATGTATAAGAAGGTCTACAAAGCTTGTGCATACTATTGCAGGTAGCGCTTTTTGTGTAAATGCATAAAAATTGGTTGGTATGTATGCATACTGTTTTAGGTGTTTCATGTGTTGTTTGTATGTATAAGGAGAAATTAAAGTTTATGTGTAGGATATGTAATGCAAAATAATTGTGTGGTACAAATGTAGAATTTGAAGTTTAGTTGTTAGATGTATAATATGATATATTTAGTGATGATAACTGATATGAGGCACAAGGTGAATGTGAATTCCTTGTGACTTCATAACAACAAACAACAGGGAGATCTTGAGGGTTATCGCCCAGCTGCAAAGCCCTTGGTGGTTATGAAGATTGCACAAGATAGATAAATGTCTTCATACTTGTGATAATCATGGGGGTCCTAATGCTTTCTGGTGCTTTTCCTCGGTTTTTAATGATTGAGCCCCAACTTCCAATGTTTACAGGTGTTTTCTTTTTCATTTTTCTCTGATTTTTGGTATCTAATTTGAATTATTTCGTCCTATTTGTATAATGATATAACAGGATGTTCTTGTTATATGTTAAGTTAATCTGTTTAACTATAATATCTTTATTTAGTTCTGACATGGCTAAAAAGAATGAAGGGGTCCTTTGACAATGTGGGTTAAGAAAGTAACTAACATTTTCTGCAATTTGTGTATTAAAAAAATTGAGCTCGGAAATAAGCCAACAACGTATTTTAACAAGAAAGACTGACAAAATATTGAGAAGAGTTTCAAAAAATTGACGGGAAGGGACTACGACAGTCTCAAATTCAAAAACAAATAGGATCAATTGAAGGACCAGAAGATATGGAAGGAGATGAAATATGGATTCACCGGGTTGGATTGAAATCTCATTAAGCGAACAGTTGATGTTCCAAAGAAATGATACTCTACTTTGGTTTATTATCTTTTTTTTTTAATAAACTAATATGCCCTCTAACCCCCCCCCCCCCCCCCCCGTTATAGGCAATACCAACAGCCAAAAACTATAAGCAGTGCGGAATTAACCCAGAGTTGAAAAATAAATTAGACGTAATGTTTAAGAGGGTTGTCGCGATGAGAAAACATGCATTCAACCCAAGTGAGTTGGGGTTTGCAGGCATACCAGATGACTTGTCACCCAAGCAGGTTGCGGCTAACGATGAAAAGCATAGCACTAACCTTCAAGAAATACAGTTCAGTTGCTAGTCGAAGAGGCTCAGGCTTGGGAAAAGGAGGAAAGATAAGGACATTTTCGTGAAAAACTCGATAGATAAACTGATTGATGATTTTGCAGCTCCGCCACCTGCTGCTCTACCTGACAACACTATCATAGAAGTTGTTATAGCTTTAGATGCTCTTCCAAAAGTTGTGGTTGATAGTCAACTTTAAGTAAAATGTGCTAAAGTGCTTGAGTATCCGACCCGAAGTCAAATATTTATGACACTGCGTCCCAAGTTGCACGTTGAATATTTACGTTCTTAAGTTGATGAATGAGTGTTTTATATGTTGATGTTGGTAGTTTTTGTTTGTATTAATTTTCAACGTTTTATTTTATTTTTTAAAACAATTATCTGTAACTCATTTGTGTCCTTTAAAGTCCATGATATTTTTGTCATTTCATTTTTTTGATGTTACTTTTCCACACTTTATTTTATCCTAAAAACTTATTTCTTTAAGATGGATCGGCAGCAAGACCGTCATAGAAGAATGGTATGGGTTGTGACGATTGCAATATTATTGTTGAAATACTACCGCTCTACCACTGCTCAAACACCACGCATAACAACCTCCTTTGTTGGGGATAAATGGGCGGGTGAGAAGCTTGCTGGACATTCGATAAGGTTCAACAATATTTTTCGCAAGAATGCACCCATTTTTATAGATCTCGTTCATGAGTTATGTCTTAATCGCAGCCTCCAAGGTTCTTTTAGAACGACAACTATGAAGGTGTTGGCAATAACAATATATATTATATCTCAGAACGAATCAGTTAGAGGAGCCTCCAAGTTTCTTCCAGAACGACAACTATGAAGGTGTTGGCAATAACAACATATATTCTATCTCAGAACAGATCAGTTAGAAGAGCTTTGGAGCGATTTCAGCATTCTTGAAAAATAATTAGCTAATATTTCTCCAAATATTTGCAAGCACTTAGTTCAGCGTCGCACATAATTAAGTCAGAGGAACTATCGTTCCCTAAAACTTCAGAACAAATTGTTAATGATCTCCATTACATGTCATATTTCGACATAAGTTTTATTATTGTGTTACGCTCACTTCAGAATGTAATTAGTTTCTATTTATGCTAAGCAGAACTGCATTGGGGCAATTGAAGGTACGCACGTTGATGTCCGACTACCCGGTCACGAAAAGGTGGCGTACATTGGTCGGAGTGGATCAAGTACCCAAAATGTC